AGGTCACTGCCAGTTGGTTCCTTTGCCACCGTAGACAAAACCGCACTGGACAGCTGGTGCTTCGCGTACATTTTTTATTATAAAATACTCTCGGCTTACTAGCTTCTTCGGATTCCACGGCTTTTCGTTGGTCTTGGAAAGCGCCTGCCGCATTTGTAGTACACCCATTCGTAATGCAAAATAGTGTTGGTGCTTCGATTACTGGATGAAAGCACAAATATCACAAAGTTATCCTTCATGTATTCATTTAAGGCCTTCTCAAATGCCGTGAAAGATGAAAACGATAAACCCACGAAATTCTCAACGAAATCCACTTCTGAAGCCATAGCAGAAGAAGTTCAGAGCTGAATGTGCGCCAATAATTTTCAAAATAGATCGATTAAAACAAATTGCAAAAAATGACAGTAAATGGGGGCGGTTTTTATTTCACGCACATATGCAAAGAAGTCCAACATTGTGACGTTAAGGTTTTTATTTCACCCGCAGGGGTTTTACAGAAAAATGCATTTTGCGTCTAGCCGCTGGGAGCTGGAGTTAACAAAGAAAAATGCATTTTGCGTCTAGCCGCTGGGAGCTGAGAGTTAACAAAAACACGATATTAAATCGACCGCGGTCAAACAAGCCACATAAACTTAGACCAAATGAGCGGGCGCCCGCTGGATTTGAAATGCTGTCCTCTGAGAAAGTGAAGCTTTTTGGAATGCCGTCAAACAGAGTACTCTTTCGTGGTGCTGTTTAACGCACAGGTAACCCGAGAAAACTCGGAGATGCACCTTGCCGACCAGGTTGCACCCATGACCTCAGGAATCCAAACATGCGTACGTTCATTCCAAACCCTTGAACAACGGCAAATCAATGCGCCCAAAGATAACAGTGCAAGAGTCACTAGCGGCGTCTATCAAAACTTTCGAACCTAAGGGGAAAGGGTGTGTCCTTCAAGGACGCATAGCTCGCCTGAACCGAAATCCTAAGATGCAGAACCCGTGAAAACAGGCAGCAGCTCTCGGAACCACCAAAACAAGAAGCACACAAGTTACAATCGGGAGCTCCTTTGAATTCCAAAACTCGGAACCGGCATAAGACTATTAAATCACTAGCTTCTCTGGTGGCAGTAACCTCTTTCCCACACTGATGCGCAGCGGCGATGGTATCAACGTGCTTGGCCGAAAATGGCTGACTCAAAATTCTGGAGGGCACTTTGAGTGGCATTTTAGTTGAATGTTCCCACTGAATCCACTCATGCACCTTGTTGTGATGCACAGTGCACTCAAGTTATGCTATGTGAAGCAATTCTGTGCTTCCTGGCGTGGTCTACCGCTGCCCATAAATTCCGTAGGAGGACGGCCGTTTCCTCGTGCACAACCTTATGCGACTCTTCATCAGCTAGCGCTTCAGGCGTTCTTTGTTGACAGGCCATCTTAATGCCCCATGGCCTCCTTGGTGGAGTTCCAGCGGGGTACGTATACAATTTGCATAGGTTATAAGCAAAATCGTCCAGTAGAGCGCTTGGATTCAACATGTTGTCGAACCCACCAGATACAGTGCACGTCAACTGTCACCCCTGCTGCAATTGTTCGTCACCAGTGGAAGACATTTCAGTAATAAAGTGTAAATTTTTTCTTAACTGGGACACTGACTACTGTGTGCTGGTGTTCGAATTCGTCTGCTTATCAACCAGGAACCAGGACCCTCAAACGTACTTTCGAAAATGCTACCAAACAGCCATCTCAAAAATGAGTATATTCCTTGACCGACCTAAACAGGGACCTGCTCCAATGGACATACAAAACTATTTTCGTGAACATTCACAGGTCCAAGGCGGCTCTCCATTCTAAAGCCGGCACACACTCCAAGAGAACAAATCTATGCAGAAGGATTCACCATGCACTCGGGACGAGGCTTCAACTTTTTTCAAAAAGATAAGTAGAGGGAACACTCAAGGTGATCTGTCATTACGTAAAATGCAAAGCCGCTGTAGATCGGCAAGCCACCAATGGAACAACCGAAAATCGGCCGTGATAATGGACCTCGCGCGTAAAAAAATCGCGTGGATCACAACTCAAGAAAGAACCCAGACACTTGCTCCTTGAAAGATATAATTATGGAATCCACGGATGACCACCTAGTGTTATCTGGAGCCACCAGTGGGCAACTCAGAGACCTGCCTTTTGCTCAGCAGCCTCGCCACATCCAGTCTTGTCAGGACGTGACTATGAACAGCTTCCAACCGTCTTAGTCTTCACAAGGAGTATATTCGTCAACCCTTTCGCAAAGAAAATCCTCTCTGTTCGTTCGAGTCAGACGGAGTCTATCTAAGAATTTCGTGTAGGAACTTGCTTACAATGGAGAAGCATTTTGACCTGGTTTTTCGTCGGTCGTCCGGCGAAGACAAACTTTCCCCTGCTTGTCGCGCTAACTAACAAAACTGGTGAGAAATTATCCCTTGGTATCTACTGGTCTGTTAACATCGCTAGAACGCAGCGCAGTGGGGTGGCCAAAGTGGTACCGGCACGGACATGTAAGATGGTTTTGAATTTCGTAGCGCACCCTTTTGCTGGTCAACAGTTTTCCTTATTCCCGGTAATTTGTTCGTGGAATCATCTGCGCCTAACGTTTGCTCGCTATCCATACAGTTTACGTGTCCTCTAGGTCGTAAGGGGTGTGCTACGCCCTATTTTAGATTTTTACCCCAGATGAATGAACGCCGCTGATCGACAGGAACGAAACTGACCAGAAGAGCCTCAATCCGGGGTGTCATTCCGTGATACAGCCCATTGAATGGAGGCGGAGCTCATTATCCGCACAATGCTCTTATCTGCAGAGCTTTTGCGAGTAGAACGAAACATTTTCACCAAAATGTGCATTTTGTTGTGTATGTTCTCAAATTAAGAATCATTCTAATATACTCTCATTATTATGCAGCTTACCGAATTTCACTGCCCACTGGGGTGATCGTAACACTGGCAGAAGAAGTTTGGTGGAATAAGTTCCTAGCACTGCTGATGGCGCGGAAGGCCTATACGGGTATCAAAAGAGTTGAGCCACACCCTGAAGTCAAGTGCCTACCTCTTTTAGTCGAACAGGGACACGTCGTATCTTTCGAAAATTCATTTCCATTGTGCGAATACTGAGCGCCACTGAGGCGAACGGCAAAACGAAGTTCCGAAGTTCCGCTCTTGATCAGTGGTGAAGAATAGTTAATTCACTTATCTTTGGCATGCAAATCAGAAGTTCAAGCGATATGGGACCTTTCCTATTGGGCGCAAGATCTCCGGGTTCGCGAACATATGTGCACATGACCCACCAGTAAACTGGTCGTATACCGCGTATCAATCCCACACTTTACCCTGTTGACCTTGACCCGGGGGCGTGCGCTTGAATGTGCCGGTCTCGTGTTACGACTGACCGCGTTTCCGTATAGTGAATGATGATGAGGTGGCCACCCCTTTTATATCAGATCGTCAGATGAGTTGAAAAAAGTCAAATAATCATAAGATGACCTGAAAGAGATATTTCACAGTGAAACGATCACTGCTAGTTTGCAGTTACTATGGCGAAGACGCAAAAATATAGGTATTTCGCAGGTAGTTTGACGATGTAATCGGGTTCGGTATTTCTGGTTAAGTCTTCACTTCTAGTAAAACTGTAGGCAGTAGACACTACTGTCTACAGCTGCACAAGGATATATCACGGTGTATGCTGAGCCAGGAATGTTTACAGTCGATATACCTGCGAAATACGGCGAACAGAAAGCTACGCTGGGCCAATTTTGCTCTTGTTTAACCAAACGCGATAGATTGTATTCTCTGAATGTTAAAATAAGTGTTTCTGAATGACTTTCACGTAGTTATGAGTGCTTTTGTTTGTCCACAAAGCGCCGTTTTCCGAATAAGAACTCATGCTGCAATTGGTTCACTGCCAAGTGGATCCAAATTGAAAGTGTTTTCAGAGCCTATTCATGGTTGTCCAACGCTCTTAACCATTGTACTTATTAGACGTTCCTTGGAGTCTTCTGTGAACCTACACTTATAAGGGGTTCACTGCGCTCTTCCCTAAAATAGCGCGTTGGATCGACCAACGGATTGAAATTTTTTATGGCCTCTTTATAATCTTAATATGGCTTCTATGTGGGTTAGAGAAAGTGTACCTGTGAGATGGTGTGCCTTTCAGTTGCACACCGAGGCCAACGAATGGCATGGATATCTTAGAATTCTAAATTGTTTTAGGATGTGTGGTCGAGAGCAGTTAAGTTATCAATGCGTTTAGGATACAAATTCGTTTCCTCTTCCCAAATAGCGCATAGTAGTAGGCACAACCTCAATATCAGATTCACCCAGCATATTTAATCTGCCAAATAGGTTAGTGGGGGGAATCTTTGGCTTCAGCTTGTCCGAATAAGCAAAATTGGACCGCCCAAGGGCAGATACTTCTGTGGCAGCACTGACTTAATCAGTTAGACTAACCGTACGATTACTGCACACCTCACATACATCATATTTCCAGACCCAAACCTGCTAACTTGTCGATTTTGTGGCATATAGCTATAATTGAAAGTCTCTGAAGGAGCACATTGGTACGCGCATATGGATGTTCCATGCAGCCATGAACGGGGAATAACACCTGAGTTTAATTGCACCCTATAGCTAGAAATTTTGCGGCGCAGTAATTTTTGCAATCGGGATATGAATTGCATTCACCTGTCACTCTTTGCGTTTCTCTCAATTTGTATTTGGCCTTTTTGTTACTCACAGTTGATTAAGGTGTGGAGTTGATCCATGGTCTAATAATGCCAAAAACATAAAGGAAACTACCCACAAGGTTGCAGAAAACTCTTCGACAGCGACCTTGTGAGTAGTTTTCTTTATGAAAATATACTGCGATATCTCGAATATCGTGCCAACTGAAACATGAGGCGGCCTTTGTGTAGCACATTCAGTTGTAGAACATCAAAAACGAGAGATTCAGCTGAATCTCTCGTGAAAGTCAAATTGATTTGCAAATGATTGTATTTCTGGGATACTAAAAACAGTTCATCACCCATGAAAGCGAGCTACCTTTTACAAACTGAAGTCACTTGTGATTAGACACATGTATATCCTATGAACCTGGGAAAACAGTTCGGAGGATGTTCAGAGCCGTGCTGCTCTGGAGGAAATGAAGATGAAGAATCATCCGAATTTTTGGGGAATTCTAACCTAGTTGGGGTGACTATAAGTCAAGAAGTGGCGCGTTTTCCGTATCTCGATAGTTTTGTAGGCTCTGGTTATAGTGTGACGGATGAAGTTAATGTACAAATCACAGGCTTGGGTCACTTTAGCTAATTTGAAACTTATGGTGTCAAGACGACA